TGGTCAAAAAGTATTAATATTTAATTAATATCTTGCTGGTGGCTGGTAAAAAAGAACCTCACCAGGAAATGGTTTTTCACAGGACAGCCAACTGTAAATACATGGATGGATATTACACATTACAAAATGGAGAAAATAACAGCTTTTGTTCATCATAAATTGGAACAATTTATAGCATACTGGGAAAAATTGATTTAATTATGTAATGCCACAAAGGCCTGATTTTTTGACATGTCATATACATTCAGTTTAAAATCTGAAACACATTGTATGGAAATATAATTGATGCTGAATGTCAATAAATTAAAAAGAAAACCACATTTTTTCACAGTAATTAAAATTTTGAGTTTTAAAGTCTGGCCATAACTAATTATAGCCTAATGAAAATTCATTCTTAATTAATCTCCCAATATTCTTTGCAATTTATCGTTTACTTTATCTAACAGTTAAATATCTTGAAATATGCCTGTCACAATGGGATAGAAGCAAATTCCTAAGATTTGAGAAACAGGAATCAGCAAATATTTAGGTATTTTTGCTCGAAATGATTTATGGATTACCAAAATAGTTCCTGTTTTAATTTTTTTGGTCAACCAATCAATTAATTGACGAATGATTGCAGACCTTCTCTCTTTGGACAAAGACATCCAACAGATACATTATGTTCCAAGCACTCCAAACCAAACTCCGTTCAAAAACGTTACATTTTAATGTGACTTCACAGGTTTATTGAAATAAATTATTATTTTCAATTCGGCACATGACTCACTGTTGTATCAGCAACTATCTTTACGTGAATTGAGAAGGAAACATTAATCACCCTCAATCAGACAATTAAGAGAGAAACACAAAATACTTGTCTGAAACTTTCTGGTTAGTGTTTTCCGTGCATGACATATATGCCGAATTGATCGGTGGATACTGATGATTCTTGAAATGTCTCATGTTGTATTGTAGTATGAATGTCTGTGCGCCAAAACCCAGCAAAGTCTTAATTTGTCAAGTTTTCAGCCGAGGTTTGGGCGTTTGTTTAAACATGCAGCGGATTCCAGGGCGGTAATTGGGACAGGCTAACATTGATGTTAAAGCTTAGCTTCATTGATCTTGATTGAAAAAGCTGTTACATTTAACAGAACGAGCAAACAGTCAAGATAAGACACAGTGACAAATAAATAACAAGCGAACAGAACAGATGATGAAAATAAAGTGACACGTTCAAAGGCTTTACTTTAGACTTTTAAGATGATATTTAAAGTAACGATACCTTAAAAAATGAGCTGCACTGACATTCAACGCCGGACTGCTACAAGTTACAAAACATGCTATACGGAAACACACATAACACTGGTGCAACGCGCAGTCAGCTCCCTCTGAATTCGGCCACATGCGGAAAGGTTCCGCATCGGTATCTATGCATCTATGGTGGACACACACTTTTGTCTGTTTATACTTGTGAGGACCTAAAGCTGAACCTGATTCTAATCTGAACCTGAAAAGTCTGGACCGTCTAACAGGACTGCAGAGAAGTGGAACCAGTACATTTAGTCCAGTACTGTACTCCACCACAGTTCAGACACAAATATTACTTACTTTTTACTCCACCATATTAATCATATTAATTTTACTGTCTACTTTGATTCAGATTAATGTGATATTATAAGTAGCAGAGTATTTATCCCACCACAGTGCAGAAATTTTTAAAGTGAAATTGGTCTTCACAAAGATAGCTATACAAGCCCTGACATACAGGGCAAGATCTTTGTAGTCATTTTGTGTCTCTTTGTGATCATTTTGAATCTTTTGCTTCTCTTTGTAGTTGTTCTTACTTTCTTTGTAGTAGTTTTATGTCTCTGTGATCATTTTGAATATTTTTATTTTTTATTGGTTTGCATCCTTTTTGTGATCATTTTTTGTAGTTTCTCCATCTCTTTGTAGTTGTGTTGTGTTGCTTTGTAGTTGTTTGCATCTTTTTGTAGTTGGTTTGCATCTCTTTGTAATTGTTTTGAGTCTCTTTGTAGTCAATTTGTGGCCCCTCAGGCCCTTTCATGTAATCTTCCATGATAACAGTATTTATATATAGAATGTATAATCATTTTATTTCTATGTTTTCCATTGCTTATTTACAGTCTTACATGTGTAGTTGTTGTATTGCTGCTTTATAGCGAACGTGGTTGTAATAGGGTGTTTATAAAGAATGTATGTGACTCAGAGGGACGTACGGCGGCCGTGTGAGGTCAAATGCGCTTCGCTGCCCGTACGGAGGGGCTGCTGTAGTAATGGAGGGGGTCACAGTCGGCCAGGTATTTGATGCGGAATGCATCCTCAGCAAACGGCCGAGAAAGGTAAGTAAAAGGCGGGTTACGGCGCGGTGGGAACTCATGTTGTGACAGGAGCAGTCGTCCGTGTGTCTCTGACATCGTGTTTGTGTTTGTCCACAGGGGAAGTTTGAATATCTGGTGAAGTGGAGGGGGTGGTCGTCCAAGTAAGTAGCTAGCTAGCCCCCGGTGCTAGCCGACACACTGAGCAGCAGAAGAACGGCAGCAGACAATGCGCGGCCCGGTGTTCCCTCTCCTGTGATGGGGGGGTTGAATCTGAACACAGCTGCATAAAACATCAGGTTTACTCTGTAGCTCAGTGGCTGGTAAACACACCGCGGATACAACGTCAAACAGCCACCGTTTCTGGTCTCGTTGTTCGGCTTTTCTGCACCGAGCAGCTGATGCTAGACCGGTATCAGACCAGGACCAGCTGCAGGCTCGGCTGGGTTACCTGGAACCAGGGCTCATTGTAAAGAGGGAAACCTGTGGTTTTAATGCTCACTACCAGACTGACATTTAAACATCCACCATTATAATCATTTACCAGGACATCACATTACACAGTGTGGTGTAACTGTCCTTCAGTCTGCTGATTATACTCTAGATAAACTATTTAACCTTTGAAATGTCAGCGGCCAAGATGACGTCTTCACATGTTTTATTTTGTCCAAACAACTGTTCAGAAAACCAAACATATTCAATTTATTATCATGAGCGACAATTAAAAACATCAAATCTTCACATCAGAGAAACTGGAAACGGCTAATATTTCACATATTTTCTTAAAAAATTAAAAAACCAAACAGTTAGATTCATTTCCTGCTGATCAATTAATCAGTTTATCATCAGCTCTAGTTATTATGCTCACAGGCCGGTCTGACTCTCTCTATAACAATAACAGCTGCAACGATGGATTGTTTTCATTATCATGTAATGTGCTGATTATTTTTCTCAATTAGTCATTTAGTCCATAAATGCTAAAAAAAAAAAATAGTGTAATAACTTAGGATTTCTCCAACTGTGTTGTGTTTAATGACCCTGTTTTGTCAGAACAACTGTCCAAACCCTGAAGATGTTCAGTTTACTGTCACATTTGAAAAGCTGAACCAGAGAATATTTAGTATTTATGATTAAAAATGACTCGATTATTGATCGATATTGACATTTATACGTTGATTGTCAGAAGTTGTTCAGTCTCACTGTCCTCCAGCTGCAGAATTTACACAATTACTCAGATATGTGATCAGATCACACTATCACTGGTTTCTGCAGGATCCATCAGCATAATTAATCATTAATATATCGTTCAAACCCGGAGGATTTCATTTTAAAATGTAGTTTTGTGTTCACAAAGTCCAGATCAGAAAGTTTCCAAGGTGAATTTTGGGCAAATGTGTATATAAACAGGTGTTTCCTCTGTGTAGTAACAAGGGTTAATATTAAGACATTTACATCAACAACATTTACAAGCTATTTGTGTTAATATCAGCATGAACTAGTCAGGACAGAGTAATGACCTGGAGCTGACTGAGTTTGATACCAAACCACTACTAGAAACATTACTTTTTTTTATTGTATTACTTCACGATTCACTTAAAGCCCTCTATGAGACTCTGTCAAAAAACAAAAATAATAAATCTGATAAGTCAAAATAGATAATATGGAAACAATTTAGGACCAGTGAAGTAAAATTATAGACATCCAAAATTAAAAAAAAAAATTATTAAAAAATAACAAAAATCTTAATACATAAAATATCAAACAGAAAAACAAAACTAATCCAAATAACTAAAACAAAAAAAAGTTGAGGTATAGCTGCCTGATACTCGAAACCCTTTATAAAAGGAAAGAAGACATTTGGGATAAAAAGACATTATATAAATGATGGACGTACATGTGTTATGGTGTTATATCTTTCCCATAGAAACATGTTTTTCTATTGCTGAAAAAAGAAGCCAACATTCTCAGGTATTAAACGTCATCTAAACTCCAGTGGCTGTACAAAACTATAAATAGAATAAAAAAAAACTTTGGTTCATTCAGGAATTATAAAAAATGATCTGCCAGCTTTTATACTTTTATTCTGTTAGAGTCGCTGACTGTTGACGTAATAACATCATTATCTGTCAACTGTTGTCAGCAGAACATGTCAGCAGAACATGTACTAACTGAGTCGTCGAAAGTTTTCCTCGTGTTTAAACTTTGATCCATTTTTCAAATGTTACTGAGATTGACCTGGTGTTTGTTTGATTCATGAACTGACGAGGTCATTAATTAACATGATTCATTCTCTGGTGTTTTCAGGCACAACAGCTGGGAGCCAGAAGAAAATATTTTGGACCCAAGGTTACTGGCAGCATTTCACAAAAGGTGTGTGTGTGTGTGTGTGTGTGTGTGTGTGTGTGTGTGTGTGTGTGTGTGTGTGTGTGTGTGTGTGTGTGTGGGTGGTATGTGTGTGTGTATGTTTTGGAAATAACAGCTATTAGGCCCAATAATGAAAACACCATTTATTGTACTGAGCCTGTAAGTTCCTACAGAAACTGCAGCTGCCTCAGGGCCAAAGATATGTCTGTTCTTCAGTTCGGTTTAACGATAAATAATTAAAAGAAAAAAAGAAAAACAGATCACAGATTCTTCTTTTTCTTCTTCTAGCTCAGTGTCTGAATGTTTTCTCTTCCTATTGTTCCAGAGAACAAGAGCGGGAGCTTCTGTTCCAGAAGAAAGGAAAGAGGCCGAGAGGACGACCACGGAAGATTCTGGTGATCAGCTGTTCAGTGATTTCGCCTGTTGCTTCATTTCCTGCCTTTTCTCTTTCACTCATTTTCTTTCTCTTTTCTGCAGCCTGCACCAACCGCCACCAAGGACAGCCGCTCCTCGTCCTCCTCTTCCTCCGGCCTCTCGTCTTCGGCCTCCTCCTCGTCCTCAGAGGATGAAGATCACACGAAGAAAGCGAAGCGTGTCCATCCTGTCCCCCAGAAGAGGCCCCAGATCCTGCTGGCCAAACCCGACCCCCCCCGCAAGAAGAAGCGTGGGAGGAAGCCGCTGCACCCGGACCTAAGGGCTTTAAGACAGGCGAAGAGCAGACCTCCTGCTCCATCTCCTCCTCCTCCCCCTCCTCCTCCTCCTCCTCCTCCTCCTCCACGACACCACCAGGCGCTCAGACTGCTCAGAGATGAGCCTCGGCCCGGGGTGAAGAAGCCTCTGCAGCCGGCCAGCTTCACCTACACAGGGCTGAGCAGGAGCTCCAGAGACGAGGCTGCCTCTGCCTCCCAGACCTCCGCCAGCTCCTTCTCCCAGACCGCTGCCTCCAAACCCGGATCCCTTAGCTGCATCTGGACCAACCGCTCCCTGTCCTCCTCCTCTTCATCCTCCTCCCACAACAAAGCCAGTCCTTCAGCACAAAATAAGAACTCTGCGTCCGAGCTGAAGCGGTCTATGTCCGAATCCGGCAGCAGAGGAGACGGATTCAAAGTGTCGCCTCTGAAACAAAGTGGCAGTTCGGGATCGTTGGGTTTGCACAGCAGCTTCGGGGGGGGCCAGGCGGTGGCCCAGCGCTCCCAGCTGGGCCAGCGGAGGCAGGAGGGCGTCGGAGGCCAGAGCGGGTTGGTTCAACACAAGCAGCAGAACTCTGGCCTTTCCAAACCGTCGTCATTATCCTCACCCACACCTCGAGACCGAGCCAACCAGGCACTGAGCCTCCGAGCCCTCAACCTGCAGAGCGTCAGCAAGCTGCCGGCCGGCAGCAGCACAAGCAGCGCCATGGTGGCAGCGTCTAGGTCAAGCTTAAGGAGCGGCGGCGGGATTGTCGTAAAAGGAGGAGTGGGTAGCATCAAAGAGACTCGGATGTCAGCTGGAGGGCAGCGCTCTGGTTTGGCTGCAGGCGGCACTGCAGAGCCGGGCAGGGGGAAGGAGATGATGGCAGGAGGCAGCTCCAGCCGAGGGAGCGGCGGCGGCGGCAGGCAGGAGGACAGGAAACACGGGCTGAGCTCTCAGAACCGGAGCCTGAACGAGCTCAGCACCGGAGACTCGGACGAGACCAGCAGCAGCGAATCAGAGCACGATGACACCGCCTTGTATCCCAGCAAGAGCCGGCCCAGCCTTGGCAACGACGCCACCGAGTCGGATACAGAGACGGACTGGCGGCCGACCCGCAGCCTCTTGGAGCACGTGTTTGTCACCGACGTCACGGCCAACTTTATCACGGTCACGGTGAAGGAGTCTCCTACCAGCGTGGGATTCTTCAACTCACGAAATCACTGAGGGACGTCTGTGCTCAGCCTGACATCACTTCCTGCCACAGCTCTCAGGGTTCCTACAGCTCTGGAACTTCATCCACAAACAGCTCACAGAAGTTTTTCCACAAAGAGATGCACAAAACGTTTGGACGACACAGTTTCAATAATCCAGTGATGTTACATAAAGACAAAAACATGGTGAAGAGATCACCTCTGGTTCAGCATTTGTAGAAACATTGTAGGAACCCTGATGTTTAGATCCCATTTACACCTGGTGTTAAAATGCAGTCTGTGTCTGGAGAAGGGAAAACTGACAAAGACTTAGGTTTTTCATTCAGTCACCTAAACAGGAAACAGGAAACAGTCACTGCAAAAACCTTCCTACAAGAAGTCAAAAGAGTTGACTTCGACAGGAAAGAGCCCATGATGAGTTTGCCTGCTGCACCTGTGCACAGGAGAAACTCAGATCCAGTTTCTAAAGTAAAACACCTCTGTAGTTTTCTGTTGACAGCTTTAACGTCCTGTAATCTGCGACATGAAATCCTCTCGTTCATTTTTCACTGATCAAAACAAACATGGTACTTTGAGCTCAGGCTCAAGCACGAGACATGACTCTTAACAAAAATCATTTCTGAAGCATGAAGCCATCAGAGTGTAAACTGAACATTCACAGGACAGTGAATTCAACCAGATGCTCTTCAAAAGTGGACAAAAACCAGTCCAGGACATCAGACAAATTCTGGAGCTGCAACAATTAGTTGATTAATGTATTGACAGGAAATGAATTGGCCAGTATTTTTTTTTAATTGACTGAATCATTTCAAGTTATTTTTTTAAGTAAAAATGCCAAAAAATTCTCTGGTTACAGTTTCTCCAATGTCTTTTAGCTATTTTCATATTTGTAGACCAAGCAATTAATCGCAAAAATAGGCAGTAGATTAATTGATTAAATTAAAATAATTGTTAGTTGCAGCCCTTAGTTTTGTACATTATGTCTATCAGCAATCAAAGTATAATTTACAAAAATAAGACACAAGTTATAATAAACAGGATTCTTACTGAGGTCTTGGAAAATGTTAAAAAGTAAAAACTTCCCATTTCATTCAAACCTTCACCAAAACAAATAATTAATTAAGACCCTTTAATTCCTCTAATAATTTAAAGCTGAATATAATTTTGTTGACAGCAACTGAAAACTACAGCAGCATCTTTTTCCAGAGATCAAGTCTGAGTAGTTTGGTGGCGTTAAATTGTAGTTTGGTTTGATATTAGATTCCTTCTTACACTTGAGAACAGTAGCTTGACAAATAAATCTTTAGTAAAAGGCCAACTTGCTTGCTTTTTTGTAGGGCTTTCAAGTGCATCTCATGGTCATGTGAATGGAGCTTTTATATGGCTGTTATATCAGCAACTCATACTTGACCACCTGCCATCATGTAACTGTTCTGTCCAGTGATGAGGACCAATGGAGGCAGTTAAAAGCCCTGGAAAAAGTTAGTAAATGGACCTTGATTACAGATTATTTTGTCACAGAGTTGCATCGGCTGTCGAACTGAAGTTACATCAGGTTTCACCGAGCATCAACCTCTGAAGTCAACACTGAAGTACCAAAACATGCAGTTCCTCTAATGACCACTAGAGTCTGGCTCCAACAGTGAGTCAATCCCCACAGACTCCCATGTTAAAATGCCAAACCAAAGCAGAAATAAACATGTTTACAGCCTGGTACAAAAAACAGTTTTGGTCTCTATAGCCAATTTCCTCCTTCATGACAGCTGTTGTATAACTCACCTGTTAACATTTTAAAGTTATGGAGAATTAAGGGCGTTGTCGCTTTGAGTGACAGGTGGGTGAGTGTATGTTCGCCACAGGAATATGCCGAAGTCTCAGCTCCACACACGCCCCTCCTCTTTGTCCATTTTTGGATAAGCTGGGAATTAAGGGCGGAGTCAGACACTGCCAAGATGGCAATGGTGGAGCAGTTTACTCTAATCTTCAGAAACCTGTGGGTGACGTCACAGAAGCTACGTCCATCTTTATTTAGTCTGGTAGAAACAGCTGCATCTCACTGTGCACTGCATGAAGTTGTATTGTTAATGAACCATCGACTCATCACTGTTGAGAACTTGAACAGCTGACGCAACTCTGTGACAAAATAATCTGTAATCAAGGTCCACTTACTAGCTTTTTCCAGGTCTTTCAACTGCCTCCAGTGGTCTCCGTTCAGAAGACCATAAGATGCTGTTGAAAGCCCAGCAGAAAAGCATTGTTGCAGTTTCTTCTCTCCGTTTTCGAACTGCGTTGTGTTAGAAAGTGTAAACACGGGGTCTGACACCACAGATGGATGTACCACAGATGCGACACCTCCTCTCCAGTGCCTCAGGTTCTATCTACCCACTGCCACCGTACAGCTGCTTGTGATGATTAGTTTGAGTAGGACGTTTGTGCTTGTCGGACCTGTATCCAAACTAAATATGTGGCTTTATCCAGAGCAGCATGTTTAAAAAAAATTCTAACAAAAAAAAAAAGAAAAAGAAAAAAAGAAGTGAGGTCTGTCTGTGATCTGTAAACTTTCATCCATAAACAAATCCCATCTAGGTTTTTTTTTAATTATCTTTCAGTTCCCCTTGGACCAAAGGTGTTATGAATGTGAATTATGTCGTTTTTGATTTTTGATTATTGACAGTATTCCTTGCACTACGCACAGTATAAATGTAAGCTCATCATCTCAAAGAAGAGACATTCCATCATCACTATATTTCTGAATTTTATACAGTTTTAATACATTTGCCGTCACAGTGTCTTTTGGAGTTGAAATATGTGTTAATTTATATTTGTAAATATGTTTTTTTTTTTTTCATGTGATATCTGATATCTATCTGGTGCTCATATTGGCTTACTAGCTTCAGATACTTGTAGCCTGTGTGCCTCTGCCATTTTTAAGGTATTTGAAATAAACCATAAGTACCTAAAGGATAAAAATGCCCACTGTATGGATACACGATATTAAAGGATGTTTTGGGCCTTGACTGCTGTTCACATCTTCACCAGGAGGTGTCCCTGTTGGACAGTGAATGAAGCCTCTGTATCACCTGGTGAGTCACCTTCAATATTTCTCAGTTACATCTGATGCTCAGAACTTTTATTTTTATTTAACCTTTATTTAAGGTTGAATAAAAGAGTCAGTATCACTAAAATGGTTTAGAAAAACCATGTCCATTTAATACAGTTTTGTTTTTACCCAATGCTGTAGAAGAATGAAGCCAATTAATGTGAAAAACTAATGAAAGATCCATGTTAAAGGGGCTATTTAAAAGTTTTTGCTACATTGCTATCGTTAGCATTAATAGCTGTTTTCTCACCAGTCTCACCAAGAACTTAAGCCGTGGTTGCATTAAGGTAATACAACCTCTGAGCAGCTGTTTCAGGGCAGACCAGAAGCCACAGTGACTTGGTATCAAAAAGTGACAAGCTGAACGGGCTGTGGCTAGGTGGTTAGCATGCTAACTTCATTAGAAAAAAAGAAGTGATAGAATTAAAACCAGAAGGTCGCTTTTCTGGACATAGCTGTTGGTGAGTTTGGTTTGGACCAGTGATTTAATGGGAAAAACTAATGAAACTAATTATTAAAGGAGCTATCTGTAAGTTTTTGCTATTGCTACATAGCTAACGTTAGCATTAGCAGCTCTTTAACTGTGTAATTTGTGAGTTCATAAGTGATTTGAGGGCTTTAGCTGTGACAAATCACTAGATGTCGTAACGTTCCACACAGATGGATCAGTGAACAGACTAATAATCCAAATTAACAAACAGGTTAATGAAATAAGCAAATGAACGTGGTAATAAACAAAGTGAACAGATGAATAAACCGAATAGATAAATGTATTAATAACTCAAATGAGTGTATTAATCAGTATATTAAGTTCTTGAAAAGTCTTAAAAAGAATTGAATTCATTTTTCACAGAAATAACAAAGATGATAAAATCCTAAATTTGATTTACAAAAGTCTGAAATATTTTTCCCGCCCTGCTCTGTGCAGAAACAATAATTAAAGAGAAAAAGGTTTTCATATTTGATTTGGGTAAAAACTGTCTGGACATTATGCACTAAGATATATGTGAACCTGAAATGAATCAATTCCATCCATTTCCTGCTATTTGTCAAAGTCATGTTTAATAATTAGTTAATGAGGTTATTAGTAATTATAAAATTATGGGGTGTACTGATATCTTGAGTTATGAGTTATTAAAAAGGTGCAGAAGCTGCAGAAACTAATCAACTGAGCAAATAGATTAATAATAACTAAGTCTAATTAATGAACCAGTGAGTGAATGGATTAATGAACAGATCACTAAACTGAGCAGTTTAATGAACCATGTGAATGGATGAATGAATCTGTTTACAGTTACTATTATTATTATTATGATCATCACTGTGGCCTGTGACTGCAGCTGTGACGTCAACGCAGAGAAACTCACAACAACAATATTTCTGTCTGAAAAAAAACTGTGACGCTGAAACAAAACTCAGGAAACACTTCAGAGTTACACCAACAAAAACACAACTCATCACACTCACACAGAAGTGATGTCTGCAGGACAGCTGGCTGCAGGTCAGTGTGTGTGTGTGTGTGTGTGTGTGTGTGTGTGTGTGTGTATGACTGACAGAAGCTATCATCCCACAAAGCTGCAGATTCAGTGATTTATGGCCAGAGCCGTGCAGAGAGGTGGAATTTTCCCAAAATAAGTTTGAGTAAACAGGCTGCGACAGAGGGGCCCTCACAGCACACTGGTATGCATAAACAGTTTGAACAGTGCGGGGCAGTGTAACCCCCCACCCTCCACCCCCCACCCCACCCTCAGCTGACACACACTCACACACACACACACTTGCAGCACATTACAGCGCAGTGAGACGCAGCCTCAGTCTGAATCCCTCGTGTCATTTTTGCAGCTTTACATATTCCAGTCACAGAAAACACACACACACACACACACACACACACACACACACACACACACACACACACATACACACACACACACAAGCTCAGTTCTACAAAAAAAAGTCTCATTTTAATGGAGGGTGAATGACAGCTGGACACCACTGCCCCCTTGTGGCCGTTGGACAGTTGACAGACAGTGGATGGTGGATATGTTGAAGGTTTTACAAACTGTTCACCAAAACTAAACTGAGTGTTTTGCTGCTGTCACGACGGACGAACAAACAAACAAACAAACAAACAAGCACACAAACAAACAAAGCTCAGTTTCTGTTTTATTGTGAAAAGTTTCATTTTTTGAGTAAATCCTTTTAACGTTAGGACAGCATATTTTTTGCTACATTTGAAGTGTGGTTCTGCAATGTCGGCCACTTTGGTCCAGTTGGATAAATTATCATAAAGTTTCATTCATTCACGTTCCTCAGAGGATGAATCCTGAAGTTCACTGATCCTCTGGCGCCTCCATGAGGTGAATGTTTGTGGTTTTAGCTGAAACATCGCAACAAATCTGTGACTGTCATTGCAAAAAACAATGAAGCACAAACCTAGGCAACAGTGAGACACTGAGAAACTTCCACAAATAGTGTGAGAGTGTCTATCTACACACACACACACACACACACACACACACACACACACACACACACACACACACACACACACACACACACACACACACACACACAGTGAGGGCAGCCTGGGATTACCAAACAGCAGTCTGTGTGTGTCTGTCTGGGCCGGAGGAGTCTCCCTGTTGGCACAAAGACAACCAGACTGTCATCAATCTACTGCTAAACCAACACC